GGCCGCGAGGACTTAAGTTTCCCACTCACTTATCTGCCAGCATCTTCCCGCAGGAAAAGCCAGAAGGAGGGAGAAAGGGGAGAGGTGGTCTCCTTACCTCGGTCGGCTCCCACCGTCAGCACCTTGGCGATCGGCAGTAATCCCGAGAGAGTGAGGAAGGCGAGGAGGAACTCGGACATCGCGGTCGCCCGGGAGGGAAGCCTGCGCTGGAGACGGCTCGGCGGCACCCTCGGCCCCGCGGCGGCGGCGGCTCGGAGCCCGGGAGGGAGCAGCGTCATTTACAAATGTCACTGGAAATGCTTCAGCTCCAGGAGCCCAGCCCGTCCGCCCGCTCCTGCCTGGAGCAGGATGTGGAAGGTGCACGGATGCGCGCGTGGGGGAGAGGCAGCGTGTGTGAGCGCGAGCGAGCGAGCGAGCGAGCCCGTGTGTCTTGACTTTTCAATGCAGGGTACGTCTGATCTTACATCACGCAAGAGGGGCAGGGAGCGGTGCCAGCGGAGGGGAGTGCACTGATGGATCGCCGAAGCCGCCACACACCCCTTCGTCGCCCACATCCATCACGTCTATTACTTAGTAAGAGGCATTTAACACAACAGGAAAATACCACCGCGAACGGAGAGCGCCACAAATCACGGCGATGTCGGTCTCCTTGAAGGGAAAGTAACTCCACGCTGGTTCTGTAGGGATCTGAGTCTTTAGGGAAGAGGTGGGGGGAGTGGGGGGGACTTCTGCATTGGGCTGAGCCAGCCAGGCGCCCGGGAAGCTCCGCAGTTAACAGCCAGCTGGAGATGAGCAGCTCCAGCGCCGGGCGCTTCTCTCCGCCAAGCAGTTTTGAGCCCTTGGTTCCGTGGCAGCCTCCTTCCCGGGAAGGAAGGACAAGCCAAGTAACGGAGCTTCTCTTAGGGAGATGGTGTCCACCGCTAGACGCAGAAACGCCACGCTTTGCAAATTGCAGTTTTAACTTTTATGCTGAGTAGCCCCTGGGGACAAAGATGCAAAATGTAGTGACTCAGCAGAAGCAACCAAACAAGCCCCCAAAGCCACTATGTATTGCAGGAGAAGGAAAGGTGAATGGGAAGAGATTCCCTAAGCAGGAGCCACAGAGCACGGAATGGGCAGTTTGTTTTGCAGCAGATTTCTCTCTTTAAAAGGGTACCTTAAACCATTTTCAACATGGGAGGATTTTTTTTATTGTTGTTGTTTTGTGTGTGTGTGTGTGTGTGTGTGTGTGTGTGTGTGTGTGTGTGTGTTTTCTTTTCCCATAGTACAGCGGTGGTTTAAAAACTTTCCCAAACCATCCGAGGCACCAAAATGAATCAATGGGAAAAAAATTTTAAGTGATTTGAATGGCCACTGAAGTTTTAAAATATGATCACCCAAGTACCTAAAATTTTAGGTAGCTGTTGAAAAATGGCTAAGGAGTTAAAAATCAGAAATCTTGAGTCGAAGGCTTATTTTTCCCTTGTAACGTCAATAATCCTTGCCTACGAACAAGGTTGAAAAATGTATATAATATTTTAAGGGAAAATTATAAGAAAAAAACAAAACTAAGCCAACAGGAAGATTGAAAAGCAAAGGGAAGATATTTTAAACACTTTATTCGGTTTCCTGGTTGAGACTGATAGTAGATGAATGCCAAGCTGTTTATGAGTAAAATTATGCAGAAACATCTCTGGATGCTCCTTTAAGGCCAATAAAATTAGACTGGTTCAAAGAACACTGGGGTGACTCTAAGGGACATTGCTACAAATCTGTGAATTTCACCTTTTCATACTTACTCTGTGATTACAAAATGTCTTCTATGCCCATTTTTACATAATTTAAATTTTCAAGTTTATTTTCCCTTGTAAGTCAAATAATTTACTATCTATAAGATGACTCCTTCCACATTTAAAAAAGATATTTTTCCTTCTAAAGTTGTCATACATCTCATGTAACCTAGTCATTTTTATTTTTTTAACTAAAATATAATATATAGAAAACTAAAGAGAAACTTTTTTCCTATTTTACTTCATATTAAAATTTCACAAACTTTGGAATGAGTGGCGGAGTTCAAATAAGGTGAGGCAGGGGAGAGGAAGAGTGAGTTTTGAATGATGCACAAAGTAATAAATATCTATTCCACAATCCACTGACCTCTGCATTCTATGAAATACTTATCCTTCCATCAGGACAAAGTGAGCAGGTATCGTTCTGACAGGATCCCATTCAATCAACTAGGAGGACAACTATTAGGTAATCCATATCCACTTAAGTCTTGACAATAAAATGAGGAGTGCTTACAAACCAGAGTTTTCTTCTTTCATACTATTTACCACCAATTACCACCATTCACCGACCCATCTCAGAAATCACAAGGAAGAGAAAAGCAGTCAGGAACAGTACAACCAAGCAAGACTCTTCTTATGGTACCAAAAGTACCATAATTGAAAATCAGTGACTCATTCACTTCTGCAGTATCTGTAGCAACCCTAGATTCCACTGTCAACTCTTACAAGGGAAAAACAACCAGAGAAGTAAATGTCCAGCGAATTTCAAATTCCAGTGCATATTCTCAATGTGCTACCTTCTAACTATGTAGTGCCTCCTAATGAATTAGGCCGAGTGAAAACCATGTGATATCTTTCAGATCGTATGGTTGACTTTTTAACTGCTCTGAACGGAAGAAAAATAAGGATGTGTTGTCCACACGTTGTGATCAGAATAAGAACGCAAAATATCATTTCTTTTTAGTAATTATCAATCAGATCACCTATTGAATAACACTTGATTGAAAATAGTGGTATAAAATAGTGGTAACAATAATGGAAGCTTGCGAATGAATGATGGGAACTTGTATTTAATGTCAACTGTAAATGATTCTCAATTTTATTAACAAAATATAATTTAGGGCTTATTTTAAGAATGTGAATAGATGTTATTAACAAAGACCTGAGGGTATACAAACTGTCTACAACAATTTAGTGGCAGAAAGAATGCTTAGGTATGTACAGTGGTCACAACATATGCACTTACTGGTAAATGCATGTCAAGCAGGTTTTTAAGACAAAAATTATAATAAGGACATTGGTTTACACCACAAAGTCATAATGATACATAATAAAGAGATTAGAAGTTAAACTTAATAGATACATATTTGTTCCAAAACTGATATAAAGGACAGTATTAAAATAAAATTGGATAAAATTCTCCCACATCAAATCATTTGTATAATGGTGGTTCTTACTTAAAAAAAAAATAGAAAATGACCAGTTCATCAAAAGAGATAGTTGTTATGTTTTGTTTTATGAACATCAATGAGGTCAGTAAAGGTATAGGCCCAATTTGAGTTTTAAAATTAAATAATTTATTTCTAGGTTTTGAATGACCATCAGTTATAATGGACTATAAATAAAAGGGAAAACATAAGTATAATTTTCTATGAAATACTGCTATTTTTCATTATATATGCTTTCATGAAAAAGAAAATAGAGTTATATAAGTGATCTGGTAGTGAAGAGAGAATAGCTGGAACTACTGTTCAAATTCTGCTTGTTTCTATGGCCCATTATAATTTCTTTATTCTAATCAGAGTTATTAACACTGACAAGTTAAATAAATTAATTCATCAAACTATAGAATGTTATGAGCTCTCATTGAGATAAATTAAACAAAATAGAACCAATCGTTCTTACTTTCTGTTCTAACACAACACGTGAATATTAATTATAAGCCAGAGGTAATCTTAAACTTCCCAATTAGAGCCACACTTTATGTACATGTGATCAAATATCAGATTTCATTTCTTCTAACTTAATTACTTTCTTGTGCTGTTGGGAGGGGGGTGGGGGGGGCAGTTTACCATAGGTAGTAACAATTCATCCACTACCCACCTACCTGAAAGTCTCCTTAGGAGCAGGGCGTGTATCTAAACAAACCAAGACTGACTGTGTCTCATGAAAGTGATGTGGTCAAGGAGAATTGGCCTGAAATCAGGTTGCTAGGAGTTTCTGCAGCTGTCATTCTAAGGGCTGCTAGATTTCTTACTCCTTCCCTCACAGAAAAGTTGCCAGGCAGCAGCAGACACAGGATGAGAAAGAAGTGGGTGGGGGTGGAGATTGAGAATTGTTAAAGAAACATTATCAGTGCTTCAAAGATACTGAAACAAAGCTCCTAAGAACAGAAACATACAAAACAACAACAAAACAACCTTTAGTTTCATTTTATTTATCAACCTGCAGTATTTCGATGCACATTTTTACCTTCTTTTCTTCTAAAGAGTGCTGTAACTGTGTGGTAGCATGCTGTTTCAATAGGCATATGGAGAATTTAGTTGAGATATATAGGATTTTGGTGCAACTTTAATTGCCACGATTTGCGAAGTATTAGCAGGTATGTATACCTAAAAAAGAAAATGAAGAATGATGCAATTATCTAATTAAACCTGGAAAATAAAATTATTTTCAAGCAAATTAAGTTTTACTTTTTATCTAAATCTCAGCTTATGTACTGTCAATATCGTTAGATGCTTTAAAATACATATTACAGTGAAAAGCACAACTGATAGTGAATTATAACTTTCAAAAGGTAAAAAATAAAAACTCAACGCAGATTTGATTGGTTTAGATTTTCTCTGACTTTGATAAGCTTTTTTAATCTTTATTGTTGAATGTATTATATGAGTCCCCTTTTTTCCCCATTGACCTCTTCTACCCCCCCCCCCACAC